GCAGACAAAAATACCCACTCATTGGCTAAAATAGTACACATAACGAAATATTAAGAACTTTTTTCATGTCTCACAAAGATATTGCTAAACAATTTTCTCACGGTCAACACCAAGACTATTTATGAAGAATTTTCGGCAATCTGGATGTAAAAAAATTGATTCAGGAATTTCTATTTCTGTTTTGATGGGAGCTGAACATAGAATTGCCGCTAATCAGTTGACTCTTATTTAATATCCTTAAGCTTTTGGATTTGTTTTGTATTTTTCTTCTACTTGATCAAAAGAACACTTCAAAAATCCAACGTGAAAGTTTTACTGCATAAAAGCTATATGAGATGTACTTATTGTAGAGAATGTAGACGAAAAAATTCGCATAAAACTTCTTGGATGATTTAAACAATATTTAATAATTACGTTGGGAATTGACAAACTATTTATAGTTTATATTATTAACTTACTTTATTTAAGATATCTTGAAAATGAATAATAAAGATGTTTACGATGTATCTGTTCTGCCTGACAATATCCTTACATTGAAAGGTGAAGAATTTTTTCGTGTTGTTCGATCATTAGTCGGTGAAGTGGTTTGCAATATTCTTGAAATTCAATTGATCGATTCTGCACAGAACTTGTTGAATACAACTGATGTTTTTGAAATATTCAAGTATGATTCTGAAGAAATCAATGACATAAAAACCAGGTCATGCTTTAAAATGAGAAATGGAGAATATATAATTCGTACAGGAGTATTAAATAATATGATATATTTAAAAACAACATTAAAAAAAAAATTTGAAGAACAACATCATTTTACAAATGATTTACGAAAAGAGAGGTATTATGAGTTGATTAATCAGAATTCATTGTTACAATCATTGATAGATTGGTATTCACAAAACCAATTTACAAATAATTGTAGTAATAAAAAACATTTATTTATGTTGTCTTTCATCGATACCATAACAAAAAATATAGTTAAATCAAAACAAAACTACCGATATGATGATTCAGTGAAAGATTTTGCTTTAGTACTGTATATATTAGGTGGCAAGCAATGCTATGAATTCATTAGAATTAATATTATTGGTGCATTACCTAATTCAACAACAATCAATAAGTTAATAGCAAATGCTGTTCCTATTTTAACAGAAGGTCGATTTTATTTTTCTACCTTGAAACAATATCTTGATACAGTAAATGTAAAATTTGGTTTTTGTGCAGAGGATTGCACTGGTGTAATTAAAAAAGTTAAGTACGATGTTACTACAAATTCATTTGTTGGTTTTGTTACGAAATTCTCTAATGGTGTACCAATTTGTGATTATTATAGTACTGATTCATTTGAACAATTACAATGCTGGTTTGATAACATAGAAAAAGCTTCCTTACTAAACATTCATATGTTTCAGCCGATACCACAGCCGAATCGTGCAAATGCACCTGCATCTTTTCTTATGAGTGCTTATGGTGTTGATAATACGTCAACAGCCATCGACATAATAAATCGATGGATTTATCTTTTTAATAATTGTATACAAAATGAAATAAGAATAATTGGTTTTTCGACAGGTAAAATCTTTGCATCAGAATTTTCTTCTTTAAGAAATAAAAAAATACTTATATCTTTATGAAATGAGAGCTTTAACCAAATTGTTGATTAGAAATATAATAGATGACAATTCAGCGATTCAGAAGAAGTGAATCAAAATGCAGATCTTCAACCCATTTCATTTAAGATGCATTTACTCAAGCGCTCAGCATACTTGCTTTAGCTAAAATAAGATGTTTAATAATACCAGCTCAAATAAAAAGAAATGATCAATATTTTCAGCTCACTTGAAGAATATGTTCGTACGTGTCAGGTCGTAATTGCAAGAGTTAACAAGCAGCAGTAAGATAAATCAGCAAGATTATTTGAATCGAGAGCAATTCAGATATTTGGTGTGAACCACTTACGTACCTAGTTTTGAAAATAGGTTATCCAAGAACAAAAAATTATCATTTTCGGAATTACCTGTACAGAATAGTAGTTCTGCTTGAAAGATGATTGTTCCAATAAAAAAGCAAACCAAAAATACTATGAGTTATATTTCTAGGAGTTCATGAAATGAATATAGAGCTCAAACTATTTATCAAACAAAGTTGAAAAAACTTGGAATAGTATTCGGTAGAAGAATCATTGGCTCCCTTCATATAAGAAACTTTGGGTGTCTCATGTTTGTCCAGCTCATTAGAAAAATTAAGTATACCAAAAGATTGATTTCGATTGATGAAAATATTGCAAATGAACTGAAATTCAATCAGAGCTTCAATAACGTTGTTGAATATGATATTTAGATTTTTCTTTAAATAGCATTTTTTATCGAGAGACACTAACACAATAAATGCATAATCGCTTCAAGGATTTTTGATTTTGATTAGCAGCATTAAACCGTGAACTCTGTGAAATTAAAGAATTTTAATTTTAATTTTTTGGTCAAAAATTAGAATTAATTTCAGGTTTTTGATTTTATTTGAAAACACATGATACTTTGACTGATTGCGCTCTATCTCGAACACACTTTTATGCTAATTATTGACATGCATAAAAATTTCACAAGACTTAGTTTTCTAGCTTACAATAATTCGAGAAAATGATTATTGTTTTTCAACTGTTAATTAAAATTAATTGTTGGTAAATGATTGTAAAATTTTTGAACTGATAACACGTCAACGGATAAATTCAGTATTATTTTGATATTGTAAAATATACATCTAGAGGCGTCAACTATACATTCGTGTTACAATAAATACATAATCTCAGCAATAACTTCATGTTGCGATCCTAATAAAAAAATTATTGCCATTAATATTGCTTGATATGGTGCTTGAGTTAACTCAATATACTTTGACTAGTTTCAATAGCTTCGTATTATGCTCGTCATGCATAAGCATTCTAGTTAGTCTTGATTTGATAGGATACTAATTCTAAGGTGACATTTCTTGTATTACATAGATATTTTTTCGAAATAACTAATTTCTTTTGTATGCTTTTCGATAATTATGTAACTAGGACAAATCTTTTCAGAAACTTTTATCGATATAAGATCTTCAACGACTTCACTATTCGATTTATCTGCTTTCCATTTCTGTTGATTAGACGGTGATCCAAAATATGTACGAGCCATGCGGCTAATATGTGGCTTTTTTGCATCTTTATCAAACTTCAAATCTTACAATCATATCAATGCGTTTCAGATCAAGATAGAAGAACGATGGTCATGGTTTTTTCTTCGGAAACAACAGTTATTTCTATTATTACAAGATCCAACACATTTAGTAACTAAATGGAGGAACCGATTGTTGTCTGAAGTAGCTGAAATGCGAATAGGAAATCAAATAATTAGTATCAACGATTTGCACGATATAATCGAAAATCATCAATACACGAAGTTAGACCATGGTTTAACAACATCTGATTTAAATCCAAAGGATAGACAAAACTATCGATCTTGTGTCAAACTTGTTTCAGAAGATTTGCTAAACATTCTCAGTGAAAATAATGATGCACGAAGTACTCACGTGTACCTTCAACTATTGAAAATGATTATAACAACATATATTGATAAATCAACAAAAATTGCTAAACGTGAGTGCATATTTTGTTGAAAATTTTATAAGACTAAGGTGAAACATTTTGTTTAATCTGCATTAGAAAAGCAGATACCGAATTGACTAAAATATCTTCAAGTAGAACAATAGTTTTGATAAAGAGAAGGTCTTTTCGCTGCATTTCAGTGAAAAATACAGGTTGTTTCTATAGCTTCAATGATTTTTTTGAAACCAATTCGTACATAGTTCACACTTTTTTTGTCGAGTGCTTTTCTTTTTCTTGAAAACATTAAACGACAAGTTCTTATAAAAATCCAAAGTGTTTTATGAAGTGGAAATTCAATACAAAAGTCTTTTAGCTATCAAATAACTTTTTCGAAAACAAGGCAGTCACTACCCGAGAGAAAAGGTAGAAAAGATGTTAGGCAACGGCGGATTGAAAAAGGAGCTTACCCTGACGTTTTAGTTCGAATATTTTTCGTATAAAAGGATAAAACTAAAATACTTTTGTTGATAAAATATTTTATTTGTTGCCTGAAAGACTTATTAATAAATCTTTGATTTCCAACAAGATTTTGGTCTTAATATAAAATTTTCTCTATACAGTTCAAATCAATCCGACTAGAATCCATGTAAAAGACGTAGACAAAAAAACAACCTTTCATTACTCTCTTAAGTTTTTTAAGAAAAAAAGTACTTATAAGTGAATCTTTTTAAGTACTTTTCCCTGTTTAATAATACACTTCTGGAAGTACTAAATGTTGGTTTTTGTCTACTTTTTTTACATAGTACAATTCGACTCGAGAGTCTAATATGAATTATAGTCCCATGACTGCATGGCTATTTCTTATGTTTCACTATTATTCGCATGTATAATTACTTGTTTTAATACAGGATTAGAGTTGGCATGGTGTGTAGTATTCTTTTGTCGCCTTTGGTGGGCCTGGTTACAACACACGAATTTTGTAAATATATCTACAACAACAAAAAAAAAAGAAAGTAAATATAAATATTTTATTACCAGAACAGCTTACTTATCAGTAGAAATTAATGCACACATGTTGCTCTATTTGATATTACTTGTTAAACGCAACCAATTGCCAAAAGAAGCATTATATATTTACTTGTTTAATTCGCAATCGTGCGAATCAATGTTTCGTAATACCAGGTCCTTAAATGGAGTTTTTGCAACAAATGTTAACTTCACAGTGAGTGATTTTCTTCATCGCTCTCAAAAATTATTAATTCTGAATAAAATCAAGCATCAGCAAGAAAATAATGAAAATGAAAACAATTTAATTTTTCCTATACATCATAAACATAGAAATGATAATAATTTGGTGATGGAAGAAAGATTACAAGACATTTATGATATAGATATAGATAAAATTATTTTCGATTCATATAAAATGGCACTTGATCTTATCAAACCATTAAATGTAATACCAAAACTGCAAGAACATCGTATTCTTGAATTAGATTCTTTAAGTAAATTTGTTTTTAGTCAACTCGAAGCAAAATCAAAAATGACAGATTCTTCAATGATATCAACAATTGATAGTAAAAATAACTTACATTCAGAATTGGATACAGACGAAGAAGATTATGATGAAGATGATTATCTAAATAATAGCGATGAACTTATTACCAACGTTCATGAGAACAGTCAAAGCCTAAACGATTCATTCGACGATGATGAACAAGAGAGTATGAATTCAATAAAAACTGACTTTGATGGTGTGAAGATACTAGATGATATAAAAATGGAGCAAAAAGATTGCTATTTTAAAATTAAAATTAATGATAAGATTAAGTACATGCACAAGCAAACAGCTTGCTGGATATTAATGAATATAAATGGAAAAATTTCATCAGATCGCTTATCTCGTGTAATACAAACAAGCAAAAAATAAAAAATAACATATATTCTATATGTTCTCTGCTGTTAGTTTTCTTTAGTATATCATTTTATTAATAAACACATTAGCTGCAACTAATTCACTACCTGTCATATTCTTTTAGAATTCGAACACATGTTTCTACGTGATGATAATTTAACGTATTATTACATACTTTTCAGTACTTAAGGATACTTTGAGGTACTGTAAGGCACTTTAATGTACTTT